CCACCTGAGAATGCTTCCATATAAATACTAGTATCACTTATCATGACTTTGCTATTCTTGAGAAGAAGATTTTTAAAATATATTTTAATGTAAAACTAGGATCACCAATTGTGACCCCACCCTATCTCTAAAGGTTATGATTTTAACAAACTAGAATATGCACAACCTAAGGATGCTTCAATATAAATATCACTAATCATGGCTTTAAAGTACTTGAGAAGATTTTTAAGAAGTTCCCTATATATTCCTATGTAAAACTTTGATCGGCCATATTGACCCCACCCTACCCCCGGGGGTCATGATTTGAACAAACTTGAATCTACACTACTTGAGGATGATTCCTAGGTAATACTTTGTTCAGCCATTGTGGCCCTTCTCTACCCCCGGGCGCATGATTTAAGAAAACTCGAATATGCTCTACCTGAGGATGCTTCAATATAAATATCACTAATCACGGCTTTGAAGTACTTGAAAAGATTTTTAAAGATTTCTCTATATACTCCTATGTAAAACTCTGATCTACCCCTTTGGCCCAAACCTACCCCCATGGGTCATGGTCTGAACAAACTTAAATCTACAGTACCTGAGGATGATTCCACATGAGTTTCATCTTTCCTGTCTCAACGGTTCTTGAGAAGATGATTTTTAAATTAAACATCCTATATATTCCTATGTAAAACTTTGATCAGCCATTTTGGCCCCACCCTACTCCAAGAGGTCTTTCCACAGAAAGGTGGAAAGACCTAATAAACATAAGCATTTCAAGAGGTCTTTCCACAGAAAGGTGGAAAGACCTAACTAGGAGACTTATTGTTCACAGAACAAGAAGAAGTCTTTCCACCTTCTTTGAATTTCAATTTTGTTTTATATCTGACTCCTTGAAACTAAATTCAATGAATCAGAAACCAAAATTATTTTAAAGGATAGAAAAAATGAAAATAAAAAAATTACCTTTACCTTTGACCTTGAAAAATGTTCAAGGTCAAAGGTCACAATGCAGTTGACCCCATACTTCTACCACTTATAGTTTTCAAGTTATAAGGTTTAATAGTTAGTACAAAAACGTTAAAGGGCGATAACTCATATAGGGGGTCATCAAATCCTTTTGCACTTATACCGTGAAGTTATGCCTAAAGACCACTAAGATTTTAGTGAAGGTTTGGTGTCTCTACGGTCTACGGTTTCGGAGGAGTAGCGATAACAAAGTTTTTCGCACAAGGGGCAATAACTTTTGAGTGGGTCAATCTTCGGGGACAAGAATGAAATATTTGAAATAGTTTTAAGAGTGCATATTAATGATGCAAAGATATTAAGTATATGTTGAACGACAAAAGAGATATAAAAAGAGCTTAATTTCTTATTTTTGGAATGACCTTGACCTTTGACCTTTGCATAAATTTTATGGTCAAAGGTCAATAAATCTTATGCAGTTGGTCCCATGTCTCTACGACTTCTTGTTTTGAAAATTTTTCATTAGTCGTAAAATTCAAAAACTTTCAGGGGCAATAACTCATAGAAGGGGTCTACGAATCCTTTCGCAATGAATAGATCCGAAGGTTCTCTCAACATTAGTAAAGGTTTCAAACCTCTGCGGTTTACGGTTTCGGAGAAGTAGCGATAACAAGCATTTCTTGCGTAAGGGGCAATAACTTTGAAAGGGGTTAAAATTTGAATACGCAGGGTCAACTGCTGAAATCTTTTAGGGAGTACGTTATGAAATTAAAATCTTTTCGATAAATCTTGAAACTGAAAAACACATGGCGGAAAAACTAGTAGACTAATTGTTCACTGAACAATTAGAAGGTCTTTCCACCTTTTTTGAAAAAATGTTTCCAAGTAATTTGGATTGTTAAAAAAATAAAAAAAAAAAAATAAATAAATAAATTTAAAAAAAATAAAATAAAGCGAAAATATAGTTCTCTTCCAGCAGGAATGGAACTCAGGACCTTTTGATCAGATGGCAGACGCGCTAACCATTGCACCACGAATTCCGATAAAGACAGTTGTAGTAAACTACCTGTTTAGAAAAAAAGATTAAAGTTCAAAGGGTCATGGCGCATTAAGGCGGCCCCCAGACCCCTTGCGTAAAAAAAATTATCCACGCCCCCCCCCCCCAATCACAAATTCTGTATCCGCCCATGATAACTATGTACTTGACTAGTTTATTTAATACCCAGGAACAGAGAAGATTTACAAAGAATTTATGCAATTTCACTATATAATCAATAGAGCCCCCACCCTAGCACCTCAGAACCCCTGACCCCAGGGCCATGACATTCAAAATTTTGGTAGGGGCAGCCTTATTTAACATAACTATATAATTATTTAGTTTATTTAATGCCCAGGAGCAGAGAAGAAGATTTTCAAAGAATTTATGCATTTTCACTATATACTCTATTAGCCCCGCCTTTAGCACTAGAACCCCTGACCCCAGGGTCATGAATTTCACAATTTTGGTAGAGGACTCAATGCTGATTACAATCATGCAAACAGTTTGACTGCATGATGTCCAGGAGTAAAGAAGATGTTTAAAGATTGCACTAATTCTAGTGGTTTTGGCCCCACCCCTCAGGCCCCAGGGACCATGAAATTCACAAATTTTGTTCCTCTTTACCCATAAATTCTTTGTGCCAAATTTGGTTGAAATTGGTGCAGTGGTTTCAGAGAAGAAGCTGAAAATGTTCAAATATTAACACACGACGCACTACGACGGACGAAAACGGATAGCAATAGGTCACCTGTGACCTAAAAATGGAAAATCAAGTTTCAATCAATTGGGCCATCTATGCATAAAGTGGACCAAGCTCTTTTACTCATTTTTTAAATGTAATTTATCATTGATATGTGTACCTTTATGGAGTACTATTTTTAACAAAAATAGAAACGTGAGTTGAAAGATCTTTTATCTAGGTAGGGGTATCATGCTTACATCCAATTCTTATTGAATTCTGACCCGCCTCTCTCTTTCAAGCCCCTTAAATATACGAGCGCATGTAGGTACAATTTTCTCCTTCGGCTGGTCACTGTATTTTATTGACATCTACCAATATGGGAAAAAAGAAAATTGAACATATCTGCGCTCATATGCTATTTAAAACAAAAGGCCCACGGGCCTTATGGGTCACCTGAAAATCGTGTAATAACTTTCAAACAATTAAAATTGGTTCCTGTTTTAAACCACAGGCCATGAAATTCACAATTTTGAAAGAGGCACCATTGCTTATCATAATTATAAACTTAGCATACTTACTCTATCTACTTAATACCCAGAGGTAGATCAAAGTAACAAAGAGAAAATGCACTTCCATTTTATACCCAGTTATGCACCTCACCCCAAAGGAACCACTGACCCTGGAGCCACATATTTCAAAATTTTGCAAATTTTATCATAAAATGGTTGATTAATATTAAAGAGCAGATTTCAAAGCATTTATTTATTTTCAGACTATGTAAAAAATAACCATTTTGTCAGATGCACCTTTCTTCATCATAAATATATATTTGTGGCATGAAGATTTTCAAAGAATTAATGCATTTTCACTATATAATTGGTTTAAAATGCACAAATTTGGAAGTGACACTCTTTCTCATCATAACTATGTACTTAGTTAGTTTATTTAAAACCCAGAAGCAGAGAAGAAGATTTTCAAAGAAAATATTTTCAAATGTTAACACACGACCCTGGGGCCATAAAATTCACGCACTCTTTCTCAACATAACTAAATACTGAATTAGTTTACTTAATACCCAGAAGCAGAGGAAGAAGATTTTCAAAAAATTAATGCATTTTCACGAAAACGGATGAGCTAAAATCACAAGGTCACCTGAGTAACTTAGTTGGGGCCATACTTCAGTTTATTAAATAGAAGCAGAGAAGAAGATTTTCAAAGAAATAATGCATTTTCACTATATGACTTTCAGTAGCCATAAAATTCACAAATGGAAGTGGGCTATGTACTTAGTTAGTTTACTTAATACCCAAGAGCAGAGAAGATTTTCAAAGAAATCATGCACTTTCACTAGTTAATCTATATGGCTGAGAGAAATCACGTGATCAAAAAGGCTGGATTCAGGAGTAAGGAAGAAGATTTTTAAAGATTGCAATAATTTTGGTGGTTTTGGCTGAACCCTAACCCTATGCCCTAACCCTAACCCTAACCCTACTAGCTTGACCCTAACCCTGAGAGAAACCCTAACCCTAACCCTAACCCCCTAACCCTAACCCTAACCCTAACCCTAACCCCCTAACCCTAACCCTAACCCAAACCCTAGCCCCAAACCCTAACCCTACTAACCCTAGCCCCTAACCCTAACCCTAACCCTAACTAACCTACTAACCCTAACCCTAACCCTAACCCTACTATCCCTAACCCTAGCCCCTAACCCTAACCCTACTAACCCTAACCCTAACCCTAACCTTACTAACCCTAACTCCCTAACCCTAACCCTAACCCTAACCCTACTAACCCTAACCCTAACCCTAGGGGGGCTAGGTGGGTCAGTACATAGCCCTAAATATGGTGTTTACACTGTGTTTACATTGGTACGTTGGTACTACGTTTTGTTTATGCTAACTATACAGGTAAATACTTTGGGGCCGTGTGCAAAACATTTCAAGAATGTCATTATGACGTCACACTTTTCATTCACAGTCTAGACAGTCTAGCCTAACCTAACCAGGTTCAAACTGGATTTTTTTTTACTGAAAACAATGAAAACCTTGATTTTTTACTGAAAACAATAACAAAAATAACACACATGGTTTATATACCTTTACTGTAAGGGCCCTGTGCATCAATACGTTTTACCTGCGTTTTTATACCTGTTGCATCATCTGTAAGCACCGTGTGCAAAAAATTAGGGTCGTGTGCAAAAATATGTTGGACTTACCTTTTGATCTTACTGTGTACGTCTTTGTACACTATCTAGTCAGCGAGCTTACCTATGCATTATGACGTCATCCATTTCATTTTCACTTTTGTTTCTAAGAAGTGAACTTAGATTTTCAGAAAATGTAGGACTATCTTTCGTTTTTCCTCTCTTTTACTATGATGATTTTCCTGCTGTGAAGCTTTTCTTGTATAAAGCTCAATTTCTCTCTGACCACGGAAGTAAACATCCTGATGCATTCTTGTCATGTGAATGTTGAGAGCGTGTTCATTTTTGAAATCTCCTTTCTGACAGACCTATTCCACAGGTAAGTTTGTCTTATTTTTGTTTACATTTCCTATGAAGGTCATCTTTGTATTTAACTATGATTTATATGTAAAGTTCTATTTTAAATGTAAATGCTGTATCTATCCTCATTTCATGGATTTACAGTTGTATAACCAGTGCATGTAACTCAGAGTGCATTTAATATTTCTATGATGGGTCATTCTATAATTGAATTTAAATCAGAAAAATGTTCACTAAATGTTGGTAAAATACATGGTATCTTTTACATTTCTGTCCCTTTTGTCTGTAAATTATTGCTTTACTTACATTGTAAAATGAGGTTAATTTGTGTATCACTGAATTGTATGATTTTTTCAGGATCAGCTGAGATGTTATTTCACTGGATTATTTAATGGATAGGCTTATTGGGCATATATTTGGATATCTCTGGTAAGTTTTTCTTGTTTTTTAATTTTTACATTTCCTATGAAGGTCATCTTTGCATGTAAGCATGATTATATGGTTAATTTAATTACTGTGTAATACTTATGTGATCTGTTGTCTCTAACTTGCATTCATATTACCACACCCTTATTTAGGGTCGTGTGCAAAAATATACCTTTTACCTGCGTTTTCTTATATACCTGTTTGCATCATATGTAAAGGACCGTGTGCAAAAAAATTAGGGTCGTGTGCAAAAAATAGGTTGGACTTACCTATGCATTGTGACGTCATCCACTGTATAAATACAATGTGATTATGACGTCACGTTTTCATTCACAGTCAAAGCCTAGCCAGTTCAAACAGCGAGCTTACCTATGCATTGTGACGTCATAAACTTGGCAGTGACGTCATGTTAGTCCTTCACAGCCTCGGTGGCTGCTTATTTTGACTTGCATTTAAGCATGATTATATGGTTTAATTTAATTACTGTGTAATACTTATGTGATCTGATATCTCTAACTTACATTCATATAAACACACCCTTATTTAACCTAAAATATATCAAGGGATCTTCAGAATATTAATAAGTCCTATTGTATAAATTATATGATATAATTTCATAATTCATTATGTATGTTACCCATGGCCATGGAATTCAGACTTACTAAATGGTGATCAAAGAGATATTAGGATTGTTATAACAGAAAAGTAAAAATCTACAAAAGATTAATCATAATAGCCATTTACTTTTTGTTTTGATTCTAAATATGTGTGATATATGGCATACATATATTTTCATTTTCACTTTTGTTTCTTAGTAATGAGCTTTTCAAAAAATGAAGGACTACATGTTGTACTGTGATGATGCTAAAAAAAAAATGTATTTTTCTGTATGCAGTACTGACAGGTATTAAACAAAATTGAATCTGCTGTTAATAAAAAGTCTTCTAGTGTCTAAATAATTAATCTGATAATCATTTTATTTGTGATATTAATACAGTAGTTGTGCTTGTTTATTATCTATAGATAACATGATGAACTTTTCTCATCTGGAGTTAATGTTAAAAACAATTTTTCGAGATTAAAAACAAATTTTTTTATGATCTTTTTTTTTGGCATTGTACATGTTTGTTCAGGTTTTAAACATGCATTGTTTAATGCAGTACTCTGTCATATTAACAAAATGGTTTTATTTTTACAGTCATCAACATGGAAGATAAGTTTTGTTCCTAACCATCTATAATCAATTCTCTATGAAGTTCAGACTGTCTGCCCTTCCTTTGGAAATACACAGTTAGTCAACCAACATAGAAACACACAAACTTGAAGGTAAAGTTGCAATGAGATACAATTGTAATTTTTATTTATTTATTTATTTATTTACATATGCATTTTTATATTTTTGAATTGATAAGTAAATGATATATGATTTTTTAAATAAAGAGGGCTTGGTGGTCATGGTCATGTTTAAACTATTTTGATATCCTTTAGAAGAAGAAGAAAAAGGCATAAAAATTCATGATCAAATTTTTAAAACTAAAAAGTATGAAATTTTTCTTTGCCAAATGATAGTTAACAGATGAAGATAGCATATTTATAGAATAAGTTAAATATGGCTAATTTGTTAACCCCCAGCTTCCTTAAATGCATAGTTGGTAAAGATAGGAAGTTTTGACTTGAATTGTTGATGAATTCTGAATTTTCCATTTAATATTAACATTATATCAAAGGGAAAGAATACTATAATGTGGCTCATTAGGATGACCAGAAAAGAAATCTTAATGACCCTCTTGACTATGTATAAAGATTTTAACCTTATAACTGATGTAAGATGATCTGATTGTGTGGAAATAAAATTTCCTGGTGTTTCTACTACCCAAGATCTTCTTATGAGTGTATGGGACTGCTGTAAACCTTCTGTTTATAAAAATAATACCTTGGAGCATGACACTTTATTCATAAGAGGTACTTTCAATATCATTTCTATGAGTTTGTGTTCTTTTTTTTTAATAATCTAGTGTCATATCTCCTTTAACCTCATTAATATGTATGCTTCCAAAATCTTAGATCTGTCTGTATAGTTTCTTCAGCTCTTTAAACACAAATACCCTGATTCAATCTTTTGAGGTAAACATCATAGAGACATCATAGATGATTATCAGAGTGTATATATCACAATCTTGACCATAAGGTCAATTTAAATGGTCAAAGGCACAACAAATGAAAGTGAAAACTTTTCTTTTTTTATCAGAATACATAATTTTGTAATAAACAAACACTGGAAAGTTACTCTCATAATGAGCCTTAATGTCTTCCAAGAGTTCAGTTTGGACTTCCTCCATTAATCCTTGTAGTTCAGTTTGGACTTCCTCTTGTATCTTGTAATCCTTGTATCTCCAATGGTTTTGTGGGCTAAAAATCATGTGTCTTTAACAATCTTTTTTTTCTGACAACTGTTTTCTCTTATCATCTATAAACTTGACTTCTTCTCTAGTCAAAGGTCTTTCAGTGTAATCCAAGTAATTCTCACCCTCTTTTGGTAATAAATGGTTATATTCTTCATTGGCTTCTTTTGAAATCAATGGTCTTTCTATGTAATCTCTGACAACATTAGGATCACCCTTTTCTGGACATAATTGGTTATATTCTTCTTGAGAAATGATCTCAATAGTGCCATCTTTTTTTATTTTAACTGGTATACCTCTGTCTACATCTTTCTCTGAAAGAATTCTCTCTCCAAACTGAATTTTACTCATTCCTTTAGTCTTTTCTTTACTAGAGGTGTTACCCATGGTTAATATGAAAAGTCAAAATCTTATGTTACAACTTGTATTTATACCCTTTTCGTCTATATTTAGAATTCCATCAAGCTTATATTACATTACATTTTTTTTTTCAACTAAGACATTATTTTTTTTTTTTATTTTTTCAGGATTCTCTAGTGAGGGCTTATGGAAATGATCTATGTCTACTCTTAGAATGGTGAAAGACTATCAGATTATGCAAAGACTAACAGAATATCCTCTCTTGGAACACTGAAACAAGAAAACCAAACTTAAGAGGATGGTGGATTTAAGAAGAACATAGATAAATATGATTTCCAACGAATTTAACCAGTACGATCATAGACTGTGGTTAACAGGATGACAAAGAAAGGACCCAGGATTGTATCTTTCACTGTCAGACACTGACTATGGATAAAGTGTAATCATTTATCAAACTGAGATCTAGTCAAATCAAGTATTGAAAATATGATTTTCTGATAGCATGAGCTCTTTAAAAACTAATTCTCACGGACCTCAAAGTATCTGAATGTGACTTTTATTTTTACCAATTCATATTGAAGACTGTTGTTATGTATGGGAATTACACATTTAAACCTTTTATTTTTCATCTAATTTTTACAACCCCTATAAATTACACAGATATCCTGATGCTGGATTTAATGTTATTATTTAACTTTCCTGGAATTGTAAATATATTTTGTTTGTGTATGTATCATGTTTAATTTTGAATTTAAAATTGGTCTCAATAAGACCCCCAATAAAGATGCAACTGTCTTATAATCTGTGGTTTAATAATATCTTGAATATCTTTATCATACCATATTCATCATACTAATTACATATAGAATGGTTGTAGGAATACACTTAGTTTTATAGGACACTTTGTCAGGGTCAAAGCATGAGATAATTGAGATAACTACCTTTGACAATAATTTGTAACCTGCAAAATTCACATCATAAGTAAAGAAAGATTCGGAGATTTTCTATAGATTTTTGGATCATTTTCTCCTGGATAAAATTTAGTTGTTGTAACTTTAACATTTTGTGATAACCTAAAGACTTTATATCAGCTCTATTGGGTGGCATAGCATATTCTTTGGAAAGAATTGAAATGTTAATCATATGCACTATGTTCAAGGATGTTTAAAGACTATTACTATGTAATACCTTAGAATTCTGTAAAAATTTTATTATCACTGCGTAGATAAAGACTGGTTAGGATAATTTATGTTTTGAAATAAGGTTTAGGGAAAAAAGTCAAGAATGTGGATATGACTTTTATTCATATGGTGCAGTACAGCAACTCTGGTGATTTACATACCTTCAGTCATGAATACATGTAGATAGGTATTGGAAAGACTCCTCTACATTTTGAAATTTTTAATTCAAAAGTATAGATTTTTTTTTTTAAGTTTGAAAGATTAGATGGTAGCATATCATTTGCTTGTGAATTAAAAAATAAATCCAAACATATACATCTTTGGATGATAATTGTAGAATTTTATCAATTCTTGGACTTCGGTCTTGATATCATCCTTTAATGTCCTTAAAATTTTAATGACTGTCTTTTAGTTTTAGTTGAATTAGTTTCTTTTCTACATGTGAAAATGACATCATCCAAAGAAGTTCTTCATCTGCATGTTATATGAAGAAGACAATTTTCATCACAGTGAAAGAGATTGTTTTGTTAAACATAATGCATTGATGCACAAATATACTTTTAGATTTTTAATAGCTAGGGTTCATATTTTTTAATATGGAATGCTAAGTACTGTTGATTTCAATTTTTTGTGAACAAAGTCATACTTGTAGAAAAAAAATATACATGATGTGTTAGAAAAGCATGTGTAAACCTGATGACTTTATAATTGCTGATTAAATCAATTATGAGTTTCATCTTTGTTACATTGTAAACTTTCTAAGTAGGGCACACATCAGAAACTCTTAAAATTCTGAGTATCAGGGTTTAACACAACAATTCCAAATGATTTTTGGACGCTTTTTATGTATCAAAAAAAGACAAAACAGAATGTTTGTTCACAGATGTTCCAATGGAAAACAACCACGAAGAAATGATTTGAAATGTTCTTCATGTGATTCATGTAAAATGTATTTTAAAATTGTACCCTAACATTTATCTTTTGCATAAATACATTTTTTGTTGAGAATTTCTCATAACTTTGAAAAAAAAAAGTAGTCTTATTGTATAATATGGTTAACTTAAAATTTTGTAGACTTAAAAGTTGTACATGATGTGTTACACATCTTACATATGTAACCATTTCATTTCAGGGCATTCAGCATATATTGTGGTTTTGTCTTAAATTTGTTTGTTCATGTAATCAATAATTTGAGAATACTCAAATTAGGTAATGCATGAGAGAATAGGCAAGAAAATCAGGTTTAAGAAATGGTTTTTACTATTTATAAGGGGTTAATCTATATATTGAATCTATAAGTACATTTAGTCTATACATTTAAGGTATTTGTGCATGAAATAAACTTACATTTTAGCATTTTAAGAAAATTGTAAACATTGCTTTAGCCAGTTTTAAAAAATGATTAGATTCACTGTCAGCATGTTATTTCTTGTAAAATAAATGAGAAAACAAACAATTTTATTTGAGTCAGTTTTTTTTTTAATGTAAATAAGAAACATTGGAAGTTGGGAATATTTCACAAAGTTGATTGAATATAATACTCACTAGGACAGTTGGAGTATTATGATTTTACCCTAAAGGACACCATTTTAAATTTCAATATACAAATCATGATTAGTCATGCAGTATAAAGTTTACACTTGCCAAAAAGTAAATGGTATCTCTATTCAGGGTCAATCCAAAGGAATGAAAACAATGTTTCTTTCTATGTATCAAATTTAAAGGATTTCTTGCAATAATTTCACTGTGTTCCTGTTCTGTTTTCTTTCTATGTATGGATAACCCTAACCTGTTCAATCAGAATACAAGAAGTAAATAAATTATGTCAAATGAAGAAAGTGCACAGCAGAAATTTACATGAATTGAACAGAGAATTCTGAGTTTCCCTCAAATATGACACAAAGTGATGTAAATTTAAAAGAAAATGTGGATCCATCTTATGATTGAGACTAGTACATATTATGAATGATGGGCACTATGACCATTAGAATGACATTACATTGATTCAATTATATGGACAGCTCTTAATCCATACAGTCAAAATGGAGGAAATATTTTTCTTTATAGGCATAAAGTAAGAAACACTCACACAATTCATCAGAATTTTACTCTTTAAAGAAAAGGAGCCTTACTTGCTTTGTTGAGTTGACATTCCTATTTTTTGTCTTTGGTAGGTACACTGATGGTTTCCTTGACTATAATGAGAACTTTTTATTTAAAAGTCCTCAGATTGTCCTGATATTTTGGTTAAAATATCTGCATGACATCAAATAATTTGTTCATACAAAGAAATAAAAGATTTTCCAGGTTTCTTCTTTTTTTGGGGGTCAAATTAAAAAGTGTCCAACTAATATATCCAACATATAATACAAGATAATCATCCAAGTTACACAAAGGTAAATAAATGACATTTTTAAGGTTTTAGTCAAAAGATCAAAGTGAGAAGGATATTTAATAGTTTGGTTAATATTCATCAAACTCCATGGATAGATTAATTAAACAAGCTTCATAAATTTTGATTTTCAGGTAAAAGATTAGCATAATTTTTGCTATACCATTGTTGTCCATGAATATCTAAACAACTCTATTGATTTTTCAGGTTAAGGGTCAATGTGTTCCTACTACAGTAAAACTTCATTAATATAAGGATATCAGGGTGATTCGTTTATTTGTTAGAAATTAGTTATAAAATCTCCCACTCTTTCTATAATATATAAGTGAATGTGCTCCTTAATTTTAAAGAATTTTACAACCAAATCATATACTGACTTTCAATCCTTCAAAACACAATATAAATTGAATCTTGATATTAATACTTTTAGGCTTTCAGACTTATAGGATTTCAATCTTAAAAACTTTCAGACTTTTAATCTTTAAAAGCATTTAATCATGAGGACTGATTATTTATCTAGTAAGTCTTGTCTTTATGTAATTAAGATCAGTCTTTAGTTATTCAAAATTTTCATTTTTGTAAAACCAAATTGTGAAAGTACGGTGTTTATGTAATCTTCTTAATGTTTATCTAAAATTATTGGATTTTAATACGGTCAAATATAATTTGTGATGATCAAAATTTCCAACTGAATTCAAAGACAAACTGCCTGACCAATATATATCTAAAGTTTCAACTCCATACAATCTTGAATATCCCTAGATATCAATACATTTATTCAGCATTAGCTATCATCCGTAAAATAACCTAAGGAACACTTTTATCGTAACTTTAAAAAACATGAAATTTCTCATGCAATTTTAAAGAATCTTTGTTATAAGGGATATTAGAGGCAAAGGATCCATAAATTTCCAAGTAGCAATATTTTAAAACTACATATCCACATTGAATTGATGATCATTTGAAGATCCCTTTTCTTGATAACTCATGAAATTTCATGTAGATAGTGACTATAATGTGTAATTAATCTTCATGAAAAAAAAGATGGTGTTAAGTTAGCCACACCCAACATCCAAGGGAGAGGGAAGGGGGTTGAACCCTTTTGTCCAGGATACATGAATTTTAAAGGTTTAAAAAAAAATTATAAAATTATATCAAATTTATAAGGTTAATATTTTTTAAGTTTTGTTTTTATTAAAAAGAAAATTTGAAAGTTAAATAAAAACAAAACTTAAAAAATATTAACTATATTTTTTAAGTTTTGTTTTTATTAAAAAGAAAATTTGAAAGTTAAATAAAAACAAAACTTAAAAAATATTAACCTTATAAATTTGATATAATTTTATAATTTTTTTTTTAAACCTTTAAAATTCATGTATCCTGGACAAAAGGGTTCAACCCCCTTCCCTCTCCCTTGGATGTTGGGTGTGGCTAACTTAACACCATCTTTTTTTTCATGAAGATTAATTACACATTATAGTCACTATCTACATGAAATTTCATGAGTTATCAAGAAAAGGGATCTTCAAATGATCATCAATGAAATCACATAAAGAACATCAATGTGGATATGTAGTTTTAAAATATTGCTACTTGGAAATTTATGGATCCTTTGCCTCTAATATCCCTTATAACAAAGATTCTTTAAAATTGCATGAGAAATTTCATGTTTTTTAAAGTTACGATAAAAGTGTTCCTTAGGTTATTTTACGGATGATAGCTAATGCTGAATAAATGTATTGATATCTAGGGATATTCAAGATTGTATGGAGTTGAAACTTTAGATATATATTGGTCAGGCAGTTTGTCTTTGAATTCAGTTGGAAATTTTGATCATCACAAATTATATTTGACCGTATTAAAATCCAATAATTTTAGATAAACATTAAGAAGATTACATAAACACCGTACTTTCACAATTTGGTTTTACAAAAATGAAAATTTTGAATAACTAAAGACTGATCTTAATTACATAAAGACAAGACTTACTAGATAAATAATCAGTCCTCATGATTAAATGCTTTTAAAGATTAAAAGTCTGAAAGTTTTTAAGATTGAAATCCTATAAGTCTGAAAGCCTAAAAGTATTAATATCAAGATTCAATTTATATTGTGTTTTGAAGGATTGAAAGTCAGTATATGATTTGCTTTTAAAATTCTTTAAAATTAAGGAGCACATTCACTGATATATCATAGAAAAGAGTGGGAGATTTTATAACTAATTTCTGACAAATAAACGAATCACCATATCCTTATATTAATGAAGTTTTACTGTAGTAGGAACACAGTGACCCTTAACCTGAAAAATCAATAGAGTTGTTTAGATATTCATGGACAACAATGGTATAGCAAAAATTGTGCTAATCTTTTACCTGAAAATCAAAATTTATGAAGCTTGTTTAATTAATCTATCCATGGAGTTTGATGAATATTAACCAAACTATTAAATATCCTTCTCACTTTGATCTTTTGACTAAAACCTTAAAAATGTCATTTATTTACCTTTGTGTAACTTGGATGATTATCTTGTATTATATGTTGGATATATTAGTTGGACACTTTTTAATTTGACCCCCAAAAAAAGAAGAAACCTGGAAAATCTTTTATTTCTTTGTATGAACAAATTATTTGATGTCATGCAGTTATTTTAACCAAAATATCAGGACAATCTGAGGACTTTTAAATAAAAAGTTCTCATTATAGTCAAGGAAACCATCAGTGTACCTACCAAAGACAAAATAGGAATGTCAACTCAACAAAGCAAGTAAGGCTCCTTTTCTTTAAAGAGTAAAATTCTGATGAATTGGGTGTTTCTTACTTTATGCCTATAAAGAAAAATATTTCCTCCATTTTGACTGTATGGATTAAGAGCTGTCCATATAATTGAATCAATGTAATGTCATTCTAATGGTCATAGTGCCCATCATTCATAATATGTACTAGTCTCAATCATAAGATGGATCCACATTTTCTTTTAAATTTACATCACTTTGTGTCATATTTGAGGGAAACTCAGAATTCTCTGTTCAATTCATGTAAATTTCTGCTGTGCACCTTCTTCATTTGACATGATTTATTTACTTCTTGTATTCTGATTGAACAGGTTAGGGTTATCCATACATAGAAAGAAAACAGAACAGGAACACAGTGAAATTATTGCAAGAAATCCTTTAAATTTGATACATAGAAAGAAACATTGTTTTCATTCCTTTGGATTGACCCTGAATAGAGATACCATTTACTTTTTGGCAAGTGTAAACTTTATACTGCATGACTAATCATGATTTGTATATTGAAATTTAAAATGGTGTCCTTTAGGGTAAAATCATAATACTCCAACTGTCCTAGTGAGTATTATATTCAATCAACTTTGTGAAATATTCCCAACTTCCAATGTTTCTTATTTACATAAAAAAAAAAACTGACTCAAATAAAATTGTTTGTTTTCTCATTTATTTTACAAGAAATAACATGCTGACAGTGAATCTAATCATTTTTTAAAACTGGCTAAAGCAATGTTTACAATTTTCTTAAAATGCTAAAATGTAAGTTTATTTCATGCACAAATACCTTAAATGTATAGACTAAATGTACTTATAGATTCAATACATAGATTAACCCCTTATAAATAGTAAAAACCATATCTTAAACCTGATTTTCTTGCCTATTCTCTCATGCATTACCTAATTTGAGTATTCTCAAATTATTGATTACATGAACAAACAAATTTAAGACAAAACCACAATATATGCTGAATGCCCTGAAATGAAATGGTTACATATGTAAGATGTGTAACACATCATGTACAACTTTTAAGTCTACAAAATTTTAAGTTAACCATATTATACAATAAGACTACTTTTTTTTTTCAAAGTTTTGAGAAATTCTCAACAAAAATGTATTTATGCAAAAGATAAATGATAGGGTACAATTTTAAAATACATTTTACATGAATCACATGAAGAACATTTCAAATCATTTCTTCGTGGTTGTTTTCCATTGGAACATCTGTGAACAAACATTCTGTTTTGTCTTTTTTTGATACATAAAAAGCGTCCAAAAATCATTTGGAATTGTTGTGTCAAACCCTGATACTCAGAATTTTAAGAGTTTCTGATGTGTGCCCTACTTAGAAAGTTTACAATGTAACAAAGATGAAACTCATAATTGATTTAATCAGCAATTATAAAGTCATCAGGTTTAGACATGCTTTTCTAACACATCATGTACATTTTTTTTCTACAAGTATGACTTTGTTCACAAAAAATTGAAATCAACAGTACTTAGCATTCCATATTAAGAAATATGAACCCTAGCTATTAGAAATCTAAAAGTATATTTGTGCATCAATGCATTATGTTTAACAAAACAATCTCTTTCACTGTGATGAAAATTGTCTTCTTCATATAACATGCAGATGAAGAACTTCTTTGGATGATGTCATTTTCACATGTAGAAAAGAAACTAATTCAACTAAAACTAAAAGACAGTCATTAAAATTTTAAGGACATTAAAGGATGATATCAAGACCGAAGTCCAAGAATTGATAAAATTCTACAATTATCATCCAAGGATATATATGTTTGGATTTATTTTTTAATTCACAAGCAAATGATATGCTACCATCTAATCTTTCAAACTTAAAAAAAATCTATACTTTTGAATTAAAAATTTCAAAATGTAGAGGAGTCTTTCCAATACCTATCTACATGTATTTATGACTGAAGGTATGTAAATCACCAGAGTTGCTGTACTGCACCATATGAATAAAAGTCATATCCACATTCTTGACTTTTTTCCCTAAACCTTATTTCAAAACATAAATTATCCTAACCAGTCTTTATCTACGCAGTGATAATAAAATTTTTACAGAATTCTAAGGTATTACATAGTAATAGTCTTTAAACATCCTTGAACATAGTGCATATGATTAACATTTCAATTCTTTCCAAAGAATATGCTATGCCACCCAATAGAGCTGATATAAAGTCTTTAGGTTATCACAAAATGTTAAAGTTACAACAACTAAATCTTACCCAGGAGAAAATGATCCAAAAATCTATAGAAAATCTCCGAATCTTTCTTTACTTATGATGTGAATTTTGCAGGTTACAAATTATTGTCAAAGGTAGTTATCTCAATTATCTCATGCTTTGACCCTGACAAAGTGTCCTATAAAACTAAGTGTATTCCTACAACCATTCTATATGTAATTAGTATGATGAATATGGTATGATAAAGATATTCAAGATATTATTAAACCACAGATTATAAGACAGTTGCATCTTTATTGGGGGTCTTATTGAGACCAATTTTAAATTCAAAATTAAACATGATACATACACAAACAAAATATATTTACAATTCCAGGAAAGTTAAATAATAACATTAAATCCAGCATCTGGATATATGTGTAATTTATAGGGGTTGTAAAAATTAGATGAAAAATAAAAGGTTTAAATGTGTAATTCCCATACATAACAACAGTCTTCAATATGAATTGGTAAAAATAAAAGTCACATTCAGATACTTTGAGGTCCGTGAGAATTAGTTTTTAAAGAGCTCATGCTATCAGAAAATCATATTTTCAATACTTGATTTGACTAGATCTCAGTTTGATAAATGATTACACTTTATCCATAGTCAGTGTCTGACAGTGAAAGATACAATCCTGGGTCCTTTCTTTGTCATCCTGTTAACCACAGTCTATGATCGTACTGGTTAAATTCGTTGGAAATCATATTTATCTATGTTCTTCTTAAATCCACCATCCTCTTAAGTTTGGTTTTCTTGTTTCAGTGTTCCAAGAGAGGATATTCTGTTAGTCTTTGCATAATCTGATAGTCTTTTACCATTCTAAGAGTAGACATAGATCATTTCCATAAGCCCTCACTAGAGAATCCTGAAAAATAAAAAAAAAATGTCTTAGTTGAAAAAAAAAATGTAATGTAATATAAGCTTGATGGAATTCTAAATATAGACAAAAAAGGGTATAAATACAAGTTATAACATAAGATTTTGACTTTTCATATTAACCATGGGTAACACCTCTAGTAAAGAAAAGACTAAAGGAATGAGTAAAATTCAGTTTGGAGAGAGAATTCTTTCAGAGAAAGATGTAGACAGAGGTATACCAGTTAAAATAAAAAAAGATGGCACTATTGAGATCATTTCTCAAGAAGAATATAACCAATTATGTCCAGAAAAGGGTGATCCTAATGTCGTCAGAGATTACATAGAAAGACCATTGATTTCAAAAGAAGCCAATGAAGAATATAACCATTTATTACCAAAAGAGGGTGAGAATTACTTGGATTACACTGAAAGACCTTTGACTAGAGAAGAAGTCAAGTTTATAGATGATAAGAGAAAACAGTTGTCAGAAAAAAAAAGATTGTTAAAGACACATGATTTTTAGCCCACAAAACCATTGGAGATACAAGGATTACAAGATACAAGGATTAATGGAGGAAGTCCAAACTGAACTCTTGGAAGACATTAAGGCTCATTATGAGAGTAACTTTCCAGTGTTTGTTTATTACAAAATTATGTATTCTGATTAAAAAAAAGAAAAGTTTTCACTTTCATTTGTTGTGCCTTTGACCATTTAAATTGACCTTATGGTCAAGATTGTGATATATACACTCTGATAACCATCTATGATGTCTCTATGATGTTTACCTCAAAAGATTGAATCAGGGTATTTGTGTTTAAAGAGCTGAAGAAACTATACAGACAGATCTAAGATTTTGGAAGCATACATATTAATGAGGTTAAAGGAGATATGACACTAGATTATTAAAAAGAAAGAACACAAACTCATAGAAATGATATTGAAAGTACCTTTTATGAATAAAGTGTCATGCTCCAAGGTATTATTTTTATAAACAGAAGGTTTACAGCAGTCCCATACACTCATAAGAAGATCTTGGGTAGTAGAAACACCAGGAAATTTTATTTCCACACAATCAGATCATCTTACATCAGTTATAAGGTTAAAATCTTTATACATAGTCAAGAGGGTCATTAAGATTTCTTTTCTGGTCATCCTAATGAGCCACATTATAGTATTCTTTCCCTTTGATATAATGTTAATATTAAATGGAAAATTCAGAATTCATCAACAATTCAAGTCAAAACTTCCTATCTTTACCAACTATGCATTTAAGGAAGCTGGGGGTTAACAAATTAGCCATATTTAACTTATTCTATAAATATGCTATCTTCATCTGTTAACTATCATTTGGCAAAGAAAAATTTCATACTTTTTAGTTTTAAAAATTTGATCATGAATTTTTATGCCTTTTTCTTCTTCTTCTAAAGGATATCAAAATAGTTTAAACATGACCATGACCACCAAGCCCTCTTTATTTAAAAAATCATGTATCATTTACTTATCAATTCAAAAATATAAAAATGCATATGTAAATAAATAAATAAATAAATAAAAATTACAATTGTATCTCATTGCAACTTTACCTTCAAGTTTGTGTGTTTCTATGTTGGTTGACTAACTGTGTATTTCCAAAGGAAGGGCAGACAGTCTGAACTTCATAGAGAATTGATTATAGATGGTTAGGAACAAAACTTATCTTCCATGTTGATGACTGTAAAAATAAAACCATTTTGTTAATATGACAGAGTACTGCATTAAACAATGCATGTTTAAAACCTGAACAAACATGTACAATGCCAAAAAAAAGGATCATGAAAATATTTGTTTTTAATCTCGAAAAATTGTTTTTAACATTAACTCCAGATGAGAAAAGTTCATCATGTTATCTATAGATAATAAACAAGCACAACTACTGTATTAATATCACAAATAAAATGATTATCAGATTAATTATTTAGACACTAGAAGACTTTTTATTAACAGCAGATTCAATTTTGTTTAATACCTGTCAGTACTGCATACAGAAAAATACATTATTTTTTTTGCATCATCACAGTACAACATGTAGTCCTTCATTTTTTGAAAAGCTCATTACCAAGAAACAAAAGTGAAAATGAAAATATATGTATGCCATATATCACACATATTTAGAATCAAAACAAAAAGTAAATGGCTATTATGATTAATCTTTTGTAGATTTTTACTTTTCTGTTATAACAATCCTAATATCTCTTTGATCACCATTTAGTAAGTCTGAATTCCATGGCCATGGGTAACATACATAATGAATTATGAAATTATGTCATATAATTTATACAATAGGACTTATTAATATTCTGAAGATCCCTTGATATATTTTAGGTTAAATAAGGGTGTGTTTATATGAATGTAAGTTAGAGATATCAGATCACATAAGTATTACACAGTAATTAAATTAAACCATATAATCATGCTTAAATGCAAGTCAAAATAAGCAGCCACCGAGGCTGTGAAGGACTAACATGACGTCACTGCCAAGTTTATGACGTCACAATGCATAGGTAAGCTCGCTGTTTGAACTGGCTAGGCTTTGACTGTGAATGAAAACGTGACGTCATAATCACATTGCATTTATACAGTGGATGACGTCACAATGCATAGGTAAGTCCAACTTATTTTTTGCACACGACCCTAATTTTTTTGCACACGGTCCTTTACAGATGATGCAAACAGGTATATAAGAAAACGCAGGTAAAAGGTATATTTTTGCACACGACCCTAAATAAGGGTGTGGTAATATGAATGTAAGTTAGAGACAACAGATCACATAAGTATTACACAGTAATTAAATTAACCATATAATCATGCTTAAATGCAAAGATGACCTTCATAGGAAATGTAAAAATTAAAAAACAAGAAAAACTTACCAGAGATATCCAAATATATGCCCAATAAGCCTATCCATTAAATAATCCAGTGAAATAACATCTCAGCTGATCCTGAAAAAATCATACAATTCAGTGATACACAATTAACCTCATTTTACAATGTAAGTAAAGCAATAATTTACAGACAAAAGGGACAGAAATGTAAAAGATACCATGTATTTTACCAACATTTAGTGGACATTTTTCTGATTTAAATTCAATTATAGAATGACCCATCATAGAAATATTAAATGCACTCTGAGTTACATGCACTGGTTATACAACTGTAAATCCATGAAATGAGGATAGATACAGCATTTACATTTAAAATAGAACTTTACATATAAATCATAGTTAAATACAAAGATGACCTTCATAGGAAATGTAAACAAAAATAAGACAAACTTACCTGTGGAATAGGTCTGTCAGAAAGGAGATTTCAAAAATGAACACGCTCTCAACATTCACATGACAAGAATGCATCAGGATGTTTACTTCCGTGGTCAGAGAGAAATTGAGCTTTATACAAGAAAAGCTTCACAGCAGGAAAATCATCATAGTAAAAGAGAGGAAAAACGAAAGATAGTCCTACATTTTCTGAAAATCTAAGTTCACTTCTTAGAAACAAAAGTGAAAATGAAACTTTAATTTTACAAGTGGATGACGTCATAATGCATAGGTAAGTTCGCTGACTAGATAGTGTACAAAGACGTACACAGTAAGATCAAAAGGTAAGTCCAACATATTTTTGCACACGACCCTAATTTTTTGCACACGGTGCTTACAGATGATGCAACAGGTATAAAAACGCAGGTAAAACGTATTGATGCACAGGGCCCTTACAGTAAAGGTATATAAACCATGTGTGTTATTTGTTATTGTTTTCAGTAAAAAATCCAGGTTGTTATTGTTTTCAGTAAAAAAAAATCCAGTTTGAACCTGGTTAGGTTAGGCTAGACTGTCTAGACTGTGAATGAAAAGTGTGACGTCATAATGACATTCTTGAAATGTTTTGCACACGGCCCCAAAGTATTTACCTGTATAGTTAGCATAAACAAAACGTAGTACCAACGTACCAATGTAAACACAGTGTAAACACCATATTTAGGGCTATGTACTGACCCACCTAGCCCCCCTAGGGTTAGGGTTAGGGTTAGGGTTAGGGTTAGTAGGGTTAGGGTTAGGGTTAGTAAGGTTAGGTTTAGGGTTAGGGAGTTAGGGTTAGTAAGGTTAGAGTTAGGGTTAGGGTTAGGGTTAGTAGGGTTAGGGTTAGGGGCGAGGGTTAGGGTTAGGGTTAGGGGATTAGGGTTAGTAGGGTTAGGGTTAGGGCTAGGGTTAGGGCTAGGGCTAGGGTTAGTAGGGTTAGGGTTAGGGCTCTCGTCTTGGTGTAAAATGTAACATAAATTTTCACTTTTTGTAACATAACCTTTCAAAAGTGTAAATTGTAACGTAACTTGTGTAAATTGTAACATAACTTGTGTAATTGTAACATAAGTATATACGAGGGTTAAAAATCGATCACTTTGATTTTATTGATTATTTCAACCCGAATTTACTCTGTTTTAAGATTTCTAACCCTCTGGGTTTCAGCTTTCTATTTTTATTATTAGCTGAGATAGTACTCACTTATGTTACATTTTACACAATTATTTACCAAATATTTTTATGTTTTTAATCCCTAAATTAAAATCATTTAAGTATTTAAAAGTTATAAATAAATATTTTTATATTGTTTTAGGGTAAAAATTATTGATTTTTACTAGAAATAAATCTGATATATGACCTCAAAGTTTATGTTACATCTTACACTTTCTAACCCTGGGGTTAGAACAAAATTATTGAAATTTATAGATTTTCACCGTTTAATGCTCTGGTGCACTTTTTATTGATATGTTTCCTCTTATAATGAAATATTAAATAGGAAAGAACAAGTTTTGACCTTAATATTTAAATCATTGGGTTATCAAATTATTTTTTCAAAAATAACACAGTATTTAGAGTCTCAAATGATAAATACGTGTAGAAGGAACAGGAAATAACATGTTTCTAATTGTATTTTTAAAATGTAACATGTTTTAAATTGTTCGCAACACTTAGTTTGTCAAAATATCAAGTCGCAACAAAAAATAAATGCATTAAGTGTTTTTAACATGTCGCGACATCATTTTTCCCATATATTTTGTCGAATACGTATAAAATTGAATTATACCACTTTATATTTGTACGGTTAACTTAGACGAAGAAAAAAAAAACCCTGATTTTACTTTAATTAACTGTATTTTTTAGAAATACAAGAAAAAAGTATATGCATAACCCTGGGGTTTGAAAGTGTAAAATGTAACATAAACATTTTTAAACATTTTGCACCGTAATAATTGTATTAAATTAGATTATGTTATGAATTCACAAAATTTAGCATAATTTTAATTGTTCGCAATACTCAGTAAGTCGAAAAATAATGCCGCAGCTGAACAAGAGATACTTAAGTGATTTCGAGATGTCGCGACTCCTAATTTGACAATTTTTTTTTGTCAAATAAATATTAACCTTAAAAGTTTTGGTTTATAATTGTACGGTTTACCTAAACGAAGGAAAATCAGTCTTGTTTCTACTTAAATTCCTTTATATCTAAGAAATTCAGGAGAAATGAATATTTGTTGGGACTTAATATTTTTTTTTTTTTTAAATGCTACTTACCTCTTTGCAGAGGTCATTTGAGAGGAAGCTGACAAATATTTCTTTTAATTTCAGGTTATTCATATTCAATGATGGTTGATTTTCCTGTAATATGAAATATAAAAAGATTTATAAGAACAAAACATCCAAAAGGGGAATGTATATTATAACCCTGGGGTAAGAAAGAGTAAAATGTATCTTAATCAATTTTTGAATATTATGTGCCATTGAAATTGAAAAAAGGTATAGTATGTAAGAAATAAACAAAATATATTATTTTGTCCTAGGATTAGCCTTAAGTGGTGGAGGGTTGGCATTAGGGTCAGTTGGCATTAAGGATAAGGTTCGTCTGCAGGGGCTAGGGTTAGGGCAAGGGTTAGGCATGAAAGGTGTAGGGATCATTAGGGTTAGGGTTAGGGTTAGGGTTAGGGCTAGGGCTAGGGCTAGGGCTAGGGTTAGGGCTAGGGCTAGGGCTAGGGCTAGGATTAACCTTAAGTGGTGGAGGGTTGGCATTAGGGTCAGGGTTGGCATTAGGGATGAGGATCGTCCGCAGGGGCTAGGGTCTGGGCTAGGGTTAGGCATAAGGGGTGTAGGGATAGCATTAGGGTTAGGGCTAGTCCTAAGGGTTAGCCTTAAGTGGTGGAGGGTTGGCATTAGGGTCAGGGTTGGCATTAGGGATAAGGTTCGTCTGCAAGGGTTAGGGATAGGGCTAGGGTTAGGCATAAGTGGTGTAGGGATAGCATTAGGGTTAGGGTTAGGATTAGGGCTAGGGTTCAGCCAATCAGAATCCAGCCTTTTTGATCACGTGATTTCTCTCAGCCAATCAAATCCTCGCCTATCTAGGCCCCTTATACTACTACTTTCCCATTATGAACAGATCGAGGAAAGTGGATTATCTGACGTCAGAATAAATTCATATGCTAATCGAGGCACTGTTGATACTTTCTAACTGACCAATCAGCTAAATGAGATGCGTTAGGACCAGAAAAATACTATGGAAATTTCATACTTGGAAAAGGATCGATTAACGTGGTTTCTGATAAATTTATTTTTATGGATTTAAGCCACTGATAAGACACGGATCTATGTACGATTTCTGAGATCACAGAAACAAATAATTGATTGATTAATGTACATAGTTTAAAGTTTTGTAAAGTGTTTGGTGGGTAATTCACTACCCGTTGGTCTACACGTATTTCCGAGTATCAGTGAGTATAAGTTTTTTGTGCATTTCTTAACCCAAAACCGTAAACACTGAGAATCCATGCGTATTATTACATGTACATGTAAGTATAATAAGCCTTTGCCGAAAATTACATTTGTAAAAGTGTGAAATGTAGAAAAGGATAAAAGGTAAATTGATCTAAACCACTGTCTATATAAAATGAAAACGTGTAGTAAACCAGCATGTTTTGTCGTTCTGTCATTGAATTGGACAATTGTTTTCGATAAGCAACTATGTGCGAAATAATAACATTGCCATATATTATCGTTGTCTTTTCTATTCTCACAAAAGAAAAATGCAAATATATATTTGCCGACTAGCCCATGAAGCATATCGGGGAGCCGGCAGTTTATTAAACTATAGTACATACATTTAACACAAAATATCTGTAACACACATCATATAACTTCTCATTTGATACAAAAATCCCTAATTCAATACATTATGGAT